GCCTTTTGCTGACTGCGCTTCCAGGGCTTGGCGTTGAGGCTTGCAGGGCTGATGGTTTGGGATGTATTAATTACTGTAGCACATGGTTCCTAACATGGGCCAATAGTTTGCTATCTTCACAAAGCTCTGGGTTAATAAACGTTTCTGTGCGACCTGAGGCTCTCTTGATACAAAGCTTCAGGTCGTTGGCATCGCAATTCCTTACTTGAAGATTTGGCAACCCGGTTGACACATTTTTTGTTAAAGAAACTGTCCTCTGCACCAGACAGATGTTTTGGAGCGGTTCGCGGGATCAAAGCCATACTCAGCAATCCTGACAGGATGCTTCATGTTGGGGGGAAGTTGCTTCTCTACCACCTTGTGCTCAGAGCTTTCAAGAGGTCTTGCTTACACTTGTAGAGTGTTCAAGCGAAAAAGGAGCTAGCCTCAAGCATGCCTCAAGCTAGAGAGTTCCAAAAACATACGCAAGCCTTTAAGGTGGCACGGTCTTGAAAAACCAAGCAACAGGTGAATGCGGTATCTGCGGTATCTGCCTAAAGGCTTTCCACCACGTCACGTGGGTTGTCTTGAAATATCCAGATCACTTTGATTCAAACTGGAAGGTTTCGTTGCATTTCATTTTCGATGCATTTATTTCCAAGACGCCTTCAACATGGAAACCCAAAGCTTCTCTGTCAGGACTTGGCAGATTGGAAGGATCCGCCGCTGAGATGGCGCCCCCTCTTGCAGAAGGCATTTTGGTCGCTGTTGGTTCGGGCTTGTTTGCGAACTATACAGTCTGCATTCATCCGGTCGGGATCAAGGCTGTCGGGGTTCAGGCCTTGTGTTTGTTGCTTGCCCCCGCACTGAGATGCACCGTCACTCAAACAGGCGTAACTAGCTGCTTCTTCAGTTCTTTAGCCTGCTGGTTTGCGGTTGCACGGACTTCTCATCCCAACGTTAGCTAGCACCGGGTTGGCCCAATGCCATGCACACGAACACGAGAGAGAGGTAGGGTAGTGGGGCAGACAATTTCCATACTGACCATGGATTCTTTGCAGCCTGAGCATGAGTTTGGCACCCATTTCCCATTCTTGGGCATTCAACCTTGACAAGACAGGTTTTCCACGCGCCAATGCCAAAGTTGCAGGTGCGAACAAGCCACTCTGAATCTGTGTGGTTTTGTGGTTCTTGCGCCCAGCATCGATGTGCATGTGGTGACTAAGTGCGGTCCATGCTGGCTTATTGCCTGCCTGTCTGGTGTTCCATGGACAGGGTATCCCATTGCTGCTGAGAGAACACACACATCCTATATGCCTGTTGGTGGGGTGTGCTTCACGTACATAGATCTCATTCTGTTGAGGGATGAAGTAGATTCGCCGGTCTGGGCTTGAATCCCAGCAGTTGTAGTGCTAATCTTAACGCCCGTAAAGTCTTAAGGTTTTTGAGTAGAGGGGAAGTGTAATAGTTGGAATGATTGCAGAATTCGGTTTAGAAATCATGGCGATAGTTGTGTTGCTGCCTTGAAGCTGCCATGATTATCAGCAGTTCCAACAAGCAGCAGTAGGCCATGGGGCTTGCAGGTCCGATGCCAAATCTCCGAAAGCGCCATTCCTGGCTAAGCCACTGACAGCGTACGAACTTTCTGACCAACAGTGCTTTCGTTTCATAAAGAAAGCATCGCTTGAACACCTTATAGATAGGTGTTTCTGAAGCCGGTAAGGAATTTACGCCTCGTATCCACTGCAAACTGCGCGCATGGCCTTGCACCTCAAGTCCTGGCCCTTGAATCCCATCAAGTGGAACAAACTGATGATCCCGAAGGCTCCTGTGGATCTTCCTGGCGCTGCCGACCTTGTCATGTTCCGGAGCTCCAATTATGGGGGATGGTGCAAAGGATCTGCTTGTCATGCGGTCTGGGCTTGACGTGCTGTTTCTACTCTCCAGTTGTTGTCAAATCTGGAACGCCTCACCTATACCAAAAGAGCAAAAGCAGAGCAGAAGAAAATCGAGGGCAGTGGTCATGGCACCGGACAGTTTCTAGCGGAGTCTTAAAGCAATTCATAAGGCCAAACACATAAGTTCTTCTGCATGGGGCTGCAATGTAGGTAGGAAGGAAAAGCTTTGAACTGTTCTTGAATGTTCCCGTTCTCCGACTTGACCTGTCAGCGGCGGTAGGATTCAGCAGAGGGAGTCCCAATAATGCAATTGAAGATGTGGATAGCAGAATTTTTGCACCACATGTAGGTCATAGACTCCCCACATGCTCATTTTTTCGCTTCCAGCAGCGTTGTGAAGGCACAGCCGGTAGGTAGAGACCATTTGTAACATAAGATAACACTACGAACAGGATGGGCATCACAAAGGGCAAGATGCTGAGGATACTTGAGTTTCCAATTGAGACTCGACTTTTTGCCTTTGCCCCAAGCATATGGATGCCGTTTGAAACCTTCGCCTTTTGTAGCAGGACTTATCGCGACATTCGGGTTTTGCGACGGGTTGAAAAACCATGCGCGCGAGGGCGGGCGCAAGCAAAAGTAGTTTCTCATATGCAGTGTCTACAGTGTACGTGGGAGAAAGATGTGTAAAACCTCGCGCGCGCAAGACGGCGCAAGGGCGAGCGCGAGGAAACCCGAATGCATCCTAATGCTGGGGCATCGGCACTGCCTTAGAACAACATCCATGTGCAAGGATGAATCTCCCCAAGCCCTCTGGACCCTTAATCGCCGACACCAAGTAATTTTTCTAAATAGGGAGACCCCAATATAGGGCCCAAATTATCTAAGCCTTGATATAAGGACCCCCAAAAAGGTACCCCTGATTTTGGGAAACCCGTACCATTCCCTTGTCAGGTACTTTCGGCCTTTTAAGAGAAAGCAGGCTTGGCCAAAGACACCGCTTTCAATTGTTGACGGGTGTCTCCTTTTTCTGGGTTGCACTTAAGGAACTGAAATTAAATTACTGTAATAAGGAAACTTGATTATTATTATATACCCCCATGATCCATATGATGGTAACTTAGTTTAAGTTCCTTAGCAGCAACCCAGCTGTTGTGTGGGGGGGTTCATTGTGTGCCGATGGGGATGTAAAGGGAGTGGGGCGTCTGCCAGTACTGTTAACGGCAGTTAAGGGTTTCTCATTGTTTCTTGGTTCCATATGGCCACCATCAGCGGTACATGCCTGAGAAACTTCCAGAACAAAGAATATGCCATTCTAGGGATGAGTGCTGGGGGGCCCCCAACTTCAGCAACTCTCATGTCATGATATATATTGGTGCAACAAGCCATATTATGTTTCGAGTCCAGGGTGTCAGGTACATGATTTTTCCTTGTGCACCTCAAAATGTACTTCTGGGCGAGTGGCGGACAGAGTAGTACTTGGTGTGAGTTACACTTGCTAAACACAGAGGCCTACGTTTCTTATCTTGATCACGGAAGCTGCATGAGGTATAGCAGATGCGCCCTTCCGATTTTGATGACAGTTTGCCTTTGAAAGATTGACATAATTGTAGAGGACATGGAAGAGAATTGCCGATGCACTTCAATTGTCGAGACCCAAGCTGGTATGAGCTCCCAACAGATCTCCCAAGGTCTAATTTGAGCTGGATTCAACTGACGACGCTGAAGGGCGCGGTAGCGTGAGAATCCAGCGAAGCTTGTTGAGTATGTCATGGTTCCAGCCCCAGCCACTCGTCTCGTACAATCTCTTGGCGTTCAGATGAAGGGAGGGTACACCGCTACGTTGGCAACCGTTCACGTGAATCAAATTAGTTTGGGAACGCCCCCTCAGCTTTCTGCTTGCCACGGGAGGTCTTCGACTACGAGGGAAGGCATCTGCTGTGTTCATTTGAGAGGTTCTCAAATAGGCAGCCTTGTGTTTTACAGGAATATTTGTACGGATCTAGACTTAGCAGGTTTTAGATCAAGATCGCAGTCCTTCGAAAAGGTCCCTGGCATTGAACTAACGCAGCAAAGGATTAGAAAGAGCTTCAGGTTGTTTAGGGTTTGGATTAAGCCTATTTCCTTTGCAGGGTTCTATAGAACATGACCATCCTTTTCTCAGTCGCCTCCTTGCAACACAGTCATAAGACTTTTCTCTTGTAGCTTGCAGTTGCTGCGGAAGATGGGGCAGCATGCTCGCAAATTTGACAGCGAAGGCAAAACCCTTCGCGTGGATTTACTCTTTACCTTCATATTCAAAGCCATGAGCATGTCGTCTACGTACCCCTACATCTGAGGCCCATGTACATTACAGCATTGGGAGTAAATCAGAAGTAGCCTGTGCCAAACATGTGGGAGTTTCCGAACATCATCCTACGTAATACTGAACGGGGACCCTAACCATCCCTCTGCAATCCCACCAGCTCGCCCTAGATCTTCAAAGTATCTTCGCCTTTAGGCAGAGCCTTCAAGTATTCATTCAAAGCCTTCTGACGCGTCCAGAGGCTCACCGCGCCGCCCTTCGCTTTCTTCCAGTGGGCAGACGCTTGCTCTGCTGAGAGGGCGTACCGAAGTATACTTTTCACATTGAGCTTACGGGAAAGCTTGTATGCGGGCTTCGTGGAGGTCATCACGGACTTGCGGGGTCACATACCTACGTGATCTACAATGGGTGATCCTGGGTGTATGTCCAATCGCAGGGAGAAAAAAGAGGCTGAGGGAGAGAATCCTGCACGAACTAGCTTCGACAATACTAGCACGGGCGTGAGAATGACATTCTTTTGCCTTTAAGGATTAGGGCTTTTGTGTGTTAGAGCAGAGGCAATTAAAAAGTCCCGCTTGTCAGGATGCAGGGCAGATGAGATCTTAAATGATGCAGCCAGGTTGCCGGGTGCCGTACTAACCGAGAGTTGGGGCTCAGGTTTGGTCACTGGAGCGGCCTTCCAGCAAGGTAGCTGCATATGTGATCCCGAAGTACTGGGTCGTGAGCTGTTGGCTCGCACGGCCTATGAATGAGATGGCCTGGGGTAAAACACATGCAAAATTGACCATACGCCCGAAGGGACCAGCCCTGCAGCTCAGGCGGAAGCTCACCAGCGAGCTGTCCCAAACGGCAAACTCTGGGTCAGATCCTTAGTACTTCAGAACCTTGGCTGTGGAGGGCTTTGGCATCAGGGCACGGATCGTCAGACAAGACAGCTGGAACGGGCAGCCTTCGACTCTGACCTCTAATCATTCTAATGGCTGGACAGGCCACGGCGTCGCTCGTGCTGGCCTGGTTTTACACCCCAATGTGAATGATATCTTTGAAGCTTGTGGCCTGAGCTGGGCTTTGCTCAGTGCTCAAAGCTCACCTGAGGTTGTGGCAGACCCGTCCATGCGTGAGCACCCCACCTTCCTTCGACTCGTCGAGGAGTCTTGCCTGCTTCTGTTTGAAGATCAGCGTTTTCAGGGAAAAGCGGCAAGTGTCTATTGTGAAGGGTGGGGACGCTGATTCAAATTCATGAAAACGTAAGAGCCTTTGGCTTCTTGCATTCCAAGATCTCTAATGCCTGGAAATGAGTTTCACTCAGCCAAAACTCCAAGTAGCTTTGGTTTCTGTTGCGTGTTGTCCGCACTGCAGGTTGCATTTGCATTTTCAGTGCGGCAAAAGGCATGGTCTTCTGCAAGCTCTAGTGTCCTGTGCATCTCCCGCAGTCTACGCGTTCTGATGCATAAGCTGGGGCAGGTATACCGGGCAAAGGCGGGGGCGGACACTTCATTTCGGAACGCATCTGTCAATGCCCGGCGAACGTCTGGCAGCAATGCTGCATTCACACAGTTGTGCCTTTGATCCTGCCCGCAATGTACAGTTGTTGAGTCCTTTTAAGGCTTGACATAGCAAGAGAAGATGGGCCAGTTAAGCTTCAATTGCCCGCTCATTTCCCCTTCCCGAAGCCCAGCTAGCGTCAATCATCGAGGAGCTTGGGGCTGAGGTGTTCAAGGGCATGGACCAGGCAAGGAGCTAAGTCAACTGTCTTCAATCTGGGGAGAGGGCGTAGGCTTTTGGAGACTTTCTGGGATCTTCGAATCCACGATATTCAGTAGAAGGCTGTTTTCTTCATTAGCTGGGGGTGTGTAGTTTCATGATGAGTTGCGTTTACTACATGTATTTTACCACTTGCTGCTGAGCACCAGAGATCTGGGTGTTGAGTTCCGTTGCACTATGAGACACGAGGCAGGGCTGCTGCCAGAGGCTTCTGCGGTGTTTAAATGCACTTCCCTAAGCTGGTGATCGGGGTCCGTACTGGCAGGTCCCTCTTTTCGCTTCGAATGGTTTTGGATGTCTTTTTGAAATAAGTGAGGTTGGAGAACATTAGTTCTTGATGATGTTTCTGTACAAGAAAAAGCGCTTGTAGTCGTTCAGTCTCAGGTATGATAGGCTGGAGTAGGTACCTGGGGGCCCCTTTCTCCATAAAAGGGTCCTGCTACGTAAGGATGATGGGGGCTTGGTTCTCAACTTGTTCCATCCCGCGAGCTCCCTCTTGACACTTTTTTATGGAGATCTATAGATATATGCCTTTATGGTACTTCTCGGGTAACCATGAAATTTTAATTGGTCACTGCATGGTCACGGTCCCCATGAGCTTGCTGCAATTCTCATCCTCAGAAGCTATCATGCTACATAGGGTTACTGCCAGAGGGTTTTCAATGATGCATTTGAGGTATTCCTCAGGACTACAGTTGGCTAGCAGGGTTTCTGGGTTCTGGGTACAGTGTGAAAAGTTGCCTCAGAACCTGGGCGCCTACATTGTTGACAGAACTTGTAGAACCGCATGAGAACCTCCCAAAAGTCTTCAATCACAACTGGATCTTCGCGTAGGCTTATACAGAAATGAAGCAGAAGAATTTAACCACACAACCCTAAACGCCGAACCCCAAACCCTAAACCCTAGTCCCTAAACCCTAAACCCTAAACCCAAATCCTTAAACCCTAAACCCCAGAGGTCCCCAGTGCCGCTTGGCTTGGGGATTTCGTTTGGCTCCGCTCTGCTACGCAGATCGCCATCTCTCCCAGAGCCCCGTATGCACTTCGGGGGTTTAGGGTTTAGGTTTCAGGGTACACAGGGTGTGCACTTATAGGGATGGGGTTTAGGGTTGAGGGTATGTACTTGCAGGATTTAGGGTTTAGGATTTGGGGTATGCTCTTATAGGATTTAGGATTATATACGGTTACTGTAGGGTTATATAGGGTGAATATATCATGCATCTATATAGGGAGGACTTTCACAAATGCGGGAGCTTCTGGAACTGGAGGTTGGAGGTCCCCATGTTCGTCGCGTTCCTTTACGTGGGAGGAACAGGGTAGCAGGTTTCAGTATCGGATGCCTCAGTACAAATTGTAGACTCCAATTGAGGAGCAGCTCTACATACACATGTGGGTGTCCACGAAGCGCTTAGAACCGTGGATTTCCCTAATTGCAGGGACTGTCGCAGAGTTTTCCAGGGACTCTGTAGGCTTTATCGGGCTCTACCTAAGGCTGAAGGATGGCACTGGAACTCAGAAGAGTTCTCTGAGCTATAGTCTAAACTCCTTAAAGGTGGTTATATAGGGGATTATACAGGGAAGCCTTGTATGGGCTAATAAGGGGGGTAGACTATAGCTCTGACATGCTGTTTGGGGGCTTCGCGGGTAATAACTTCAAGTTTTTGATTTGGCAATTCAAGCGTTTTGGATTGAATATGCAGAGCAGCTGCGAGGTCGTTTTAGCAGGCAGCTTGCCACCCTGATGCCTAAACCATGCTGCTCGGACCTCGCAAGCAGATTCTAGACTTTCCATCATATATTGCCTAAGCCCTTGGAGCCCCTAAGCCCTGGACCTCTGACTCCGTAGCTGATCATGCAAGTGTTGCTGCTTGTGACAAACGTCTGTCTGAAATCCTTGCCTTGGAATGATCAAACACCCTGGCTAAAGAAGGTACCTTTGCGTGGTGGGCTGCGTTTCTCAGTGAGGCAGCAGCTTTTTACTACTGGGGTTCGGGATTTGATGGGGGGGGGGGGGGGGGGGAGCTACACCAGATGTGCAGTGAGCCGGCATGCGGCACACGCATAAGCAGTGATTTAGAGTTCACAGGATCCTCAGGGTTGTATGTTGGGGCTGGTATGTGTTTCACTGAAACAATGTAAGTTCGCAGATAGAAGTTCAGGAGCTAACTATTAACAGGTATACACCAAGAAATTGGGCTTGGGCATGATGTGGTGAAAGTTGCTTTGCCATGGATGTAAAGCTGATTTCTGCGCAAATTGTCTTCACCGTCTTGCGCGCACCATCCTAAAAGATATGCGTGAATGGTTCCTGTTGTGTTGCACTTAACAGCCTACTTAATCTGTTTAACCTACTGCCCAAACTTTTGAGTAAAGGCTGTGCGCTTTTGAATGATTTAGCGGCCTTCTTGGCCTCCGGCCGCGCGGCCGGGACCGTTTCAAATGCTGGCCCGTGACCGAATTCCCGGTAATGCGCATTGAAATCCTACAACCTTACAGAGGCAAAAAGAAGACGCATTTCATAAAAGTGAACTCGCAAGCCGCTCGAGGATGTCAAAGATGAGGACCCTAAACCGTGCACCTCATGTGATTTGCACTCCACGTAATAGTAATTGTATTCAATCCCATGTATCCCTAATTATAGCATTCCCATACCCCTCCCCCCAGAGCCTCATCACTACTGACCCTACTGCCATAACAGCTCAAGAGACCTGCAACCAAACGTCGTGCAGCAAAAACCGGAGCCGCTTGCCTTTGTCGTATGCATTTTAGGGACGTGGGACCCCTCACTATCGAAGATCGGCACAGGCCACCACTGTCTATGTGCCTCTCCTACCGGGCCAGGCCGGCAACAAGCCATAGGAAATATTTTTCAAAGATATATACTTCAGATGGGTAGGCAAGGGCTTCTAGATGGGTTGCAGGGTGTTTTATGAGAGTCTTTAGCGATTGTATTGCAGCATGCAGGGCTCATTTCGGGATATGGAGACAGTTTGGGGTGTGTATTTTTGGGGGTTTGCTGTGTGTTGCCCCACGGATTTCGGTATCGGACTATACCCTGAGAAGGCTCCTCTCGCATTTTTGAAAATCTTGACTGTCAGCACCTTCCACATGCAGCTAGCTTCAAGCACGTCATGTCACCGCCCCAGAAGTATTTCACAACAAAACAGGTCGTCTAAGGCCTAAAAGGGCACCCACAAAATTGAGCCGCCGAAATGCGTAAGGGGCTTGCTAGGTGCCCATGCCCTGGTGTCCGCTTTTTCCAGAGGCCGCCTGCTTAGTTAAGGGTGGGGGTGAGAAGCGAGGGATAAAGGATTTGCGCCTCGTGACGTGCAAGCAGTCAGTCTACAGTCGGGATTCTGCGCTTCTAAGTTCTAAGTCGTGGAGTTTGCAGCAATGGTCTCAATCTTGTCTGATTCATGCCTCATTGTTCGTTGTTCTTGTCTGCGTGACAAGGATCCGCGATTCGTGTGGCGCAGCTGCAGTCCAGGTAGAGTCTGTAAAGTTATGCGTCCTCCATCGTAACCCTTCTGTCGCTGGCTGTACAGACGGCTTTTCAGGACTCGATTTGGGTTGTTGCAGCTAGCAGTGGCAGTTGCCACCGCACAGAAATAGCAGTGCTTGCAGCAGTCAGAAGAAGAGCAGAAGCCGTCACAAGCTGAGATTCTACGACTTCTGGAGTAACGAGTCGTTTGCGGAGGCGGGCATTCAAACATGAGGGTGTGTGATGGGACCAAGGCTGGCCTGGGGGTTGTGCGCTTTTGGTGCGGGTGGCTTTTCTTTCTAAAGAGGGCTGCTACAATTGTTACACCCCACATAGTATACCCCCCAATATACTCCTTAGAATACAGCCCCTAAAACCGACCCCCATAATGTACCCCCTATACTAGACCAAACCTTAAATTTGTCAACAGGCCGACCCTGCGCGGCAGCGCTGCCGCGACTTTGCCAAATGCGCTGATGGCAGGCGCACCCCGGCAGCTTGGGCGAGGGAAGAAGGAAGCGGATCAGGGTTCAGGGAGAAGAAGGAGGAGGAAAAGTATCGACTTTACCCGTGTTTCCTACTAAGTTACTGTTTTTGCATACTGTTGCTTTTCCCGACTGTTGATGCTGTCGGCTGCAATTGCAGCAAAACTGTTCATCGCTAACATTGAGGTTAGTAAGCGGCGTGCGGATACGGTGCCAGTACAGTATGGAAGGTGGTAAGAATTCTGGTTTGGAAAGGGGGCGCACATCGTATGACAAATATTCCCCGACTTGTGCAGACAGCTATTCAGTGAAAATCTCCTTGAAGCTCTGCAGAGTCCTCTTTCTGGCCGCAGTTTGTAGCAAATGCAGAGCCCTCTGGCCGCTAGCGCTCTCACACCTCACCTCAGAGTATCGCTCGTGAAAAGACCTCAAAGCAGGATGTCGAATGTGTTCGTGTGAGGTCCAGACCTGAACATGTGCAGGTGCCCTTTGAAGTCGTTGCCTGCAGACTTGGCCAATCGCCGCTCGGAAATTTTGAGTTTTGCTGTTTTTCCACCATTGAGGTTTTGCGGAATGGTAATATTGTTGCTACGGTTATCATTATAACTGTTTATTATTTGGCGAACTCCTTGTTCTGCAAAGACGACGAAGCCTGAGCCTCCCGCTGTGATAGTGGCAGGGGAGGGCTCGCGACTACAAAGACGACAAAGCCTGAGCCGCCCGCTGTGATAGTGGGAGGCGAGGGTTTCGACTACAAAGACGACAGCCTGAGCCTCCCGCTGTGATAGCGGGAGGCGAGGGCTGGCGACGACAGGGCTTGAGGAGGCATGCTAGAATTTTAGGCTTGCGGCTTAGGCCCGAAGGTTTTTTATTTCAGGCCTCGGGTCCACGTCAAATCCCCACGAACACTCAGAATCGGTGCTTCCTGAGGCTTTGACCCCTCTGATGTGTGTCCTCGATTGCCCTCATGCCCTCACAGATTTATCCGGATAAAAACCTGGGGATACCCCCCCATGTACGTCCAACCCCTATTCGTGTGCCCTATAGATACTATAGACCTGAGAAGCGATGTTTACTCATCAAGACTCTGAAGCTCCCATTAAGAAAGGGGTCCATAGCAGGCTCATCATGAAGTGACAAAGATTTGCTGGCTGGGTTGATGTGATGGGATCCCTCGAGACCCGGTTGCCCGAAAAGCTTGAGCTTTGCCTTTCCATGCTATCACTCCAGAGCCCAGGAAGCTTCCATTCTAATACATCCTCACCCGGATCCCGCAGGGTTCAGTGTCTGGGTAGACTACTATCCAAGCAGAGTCACTGTACATCCAGGGCTAGGGCGAGGCTTCAACCCCCTCAAGCCAAAGCAGATGCTACGCTTCCGGATTGCTACAAACCCCCGCACCCTCAAATGCTTAAGGCCCCGCGTCTATGCCCCAAGTCCACCATGCCTGAAGTCTTGACCTTTCGGCCCTGGATCCTGCAAAACTTGCACCAGCAGCCCCAGACCCGCCTGTGAAGATAGAATCCGGAAACTCCGACTCAGAGCGAGAAACCAACGGTTGAAGCCTTTGCAGCCCTAACATGCCTTGTACTCGGACTCTACGGAGTCCTATCATGGTTCAGTGCGGACATTTCCCGTAGAATGGGGGTGGGGTCCGCCTTCAGATGCCTCGAAATGTCACAGCAATCCTACTACACGTATGTACTCCCCAAAGGCGCCTGTGAATCTCTGAGCCACCTTTCTCTCTCGATACTTCTCAGCACCTAGCCTCTATAGGTCCGGTGTAGACCCTATGTAGAGAATTCCGTTCAAGGAGACACCATCAGTAAACCATTGCAGCAGTATTATACAAGTTTCATCCCCGAACTCCTAAGGACATATCCAGTAGTCACAGTCCGCAAGCTCAGGCTTTTACCCAGAGGTTCTGGCCCTGAAGAACGAGATGGCCTGGCCCTTAACTAAGGCTACGTCTGCAGTTCTGCAAAGAGACTGCCACTGGGGTTCTTCAGTGCTTCAATGGCATGCCTGGGATTTTGGTCAAGTGTAGGTTGCTTGCCTGAACAGTCAAAGGCGCCACTGTTCCCTGTACATCCATGTTAGAACCCCATTCCTAAGTGCTCTTGACAACATCTGTTCCTAGTGAGGCCATCTACAACTCTATCCTCACAAAGGAAGAAGCCATGCTTCTAAGTCATGGCCGCACTGTTCCTGCCAAGGACCAGAAGTACATCGCCGCCCACAGCAGAGAGCCAGGGTGAACAAAACAAAACGGTGGCCCGGTCGTGGTTCTCAGCGCCAAGGCATGCTGTTTTTGAGGTTCTCAGCTTTGAGACCCTTGTAGATTTGAAGGATGTTGTCAGAAAGGAGGCTCGGCACGTTAGCTCACCGCAAGGTTTGTGGGGCTCTGACTGGTTAAATGGTATCTTGAAGGTTCCCATGTCTGTGATAGGAAGACATTAATATGTAGCCTAGAGAGTGAGAGGCCGCCAGCTGGGGATGTTAATATGGTGCATCCAGGAGCTCCAGAGTTACAGTCAGAAAGCCTTGTCCGGATATTCTAGTCCCCAGTATATAGAGCAAGATTATAATGTCCCCTTTTGGGGGTGCAGTGTTTTTACAGATTACCTACTCATATGAGGCAGTTCAGGTCTGGACTTTGCGCGCTGGCACGGCAACTCGTGGACGAGGCTCTAAACAGGCTCTTACGACTTCCGGCGAGCTCCTAATGCAGATTCGCGCGCTACCGGGAGCAGTTCTTTTAAGTTCGCTTAACAAAGCATCTAACATACCTCATTTTCAGCCTCTTACATACTCTGTTTCGTTGCATGATGATTCTGGTTTCTGGCGACCAGTGTCTGCTGCAGCTGCTGCTGCTCCCGGCAGGCTCAAGAACGTAGGTAGTGCAAACGTGCTAGCCTTTGCTGCACAAATTTGCAGTGCCGCTGCCATGTCAGACAGTAGATGAGGCTTGTACTTGGTGAGCTGAGTGTTATGCGGATGGGCCAGCATCCATTGAATCTAGCCTCATAGGAGACATGATAGACTTTAGCAGGCTATGTTGCCTGCATCCTCGCATAGTTAGTGTGCTTTGAGAAGGTTGTTGCATGCGAGGCTACATGCCAACACTTAAGCAACCCTACTAGACATCCCCAGCAGTAGGATATTTATCATAAGAGCTGAGAACAAGCCTGTGGGACCTTCCAAGAACTCCATTCAGCGGCAGGAGGTTTACAAGCCATTTGTGCAAGGCAGCGCGGGCAGGTCTCATCCCAGAGGGCTCGGAACATCAAAGCGCCTTGTCTTCGAGGACTAAACACATGAATTTGGGCTGTTGAAAAAAGCGGTAAAAGCATGTCTGATCCCAGCAGAGAGAGCAGCCCAGCACGCCAATGATGCTGACATGCCCTCAAGCCGCCGCCAAAAAAGTGGCTGCGGTTGGCAAGCTTTCTTGGTCTCTGCTGCTGGGCGCTTGAGAAGTGGTTATCACTATATATACAATAGGTTTCCATTTGCTTTTCCAGTATCCCTATATAATCCCTAGATAACTCCATTATACTATAGTAGTTTCCATTTTGTTTTTCGTTATCCCTATATAATCCCTATTTATACCCTTAGAGGGTCTGGGATCTGCCAGCTCACCCACACACCACATGTACGGGCACCGTATCTTCTCACAGACCATTTCCAACAGCTGATCTTACTCAGGGATACTGGAAAAGAAAATGGAAACTACAGTGACTATATAGGGTTATATAGGGATTATATAAGGGTGTATATATATATATAGGGTGCTGTTGCCGTGAGCATTGTTACCGCCGTCATTTTCGCTTTCTGTTACCGTTGAATTGATCTCACCTCGACAATGACTGCTGCTACGGCACCACGATTCTGATCATGATCATTGAGATTGTTTCCGATTGTAATATGACGAGTATTGCTGCTATCGCAATACTGTACAACGAGTAGAGATTTACGGTTGTTATCATAATGTTGGTTTGTTACTCTTGCTATTACTATTCTTATTACGAGCACGTTTACATGATGCTATTGCTTTTACGACTACTGCTGCTATTCCGATTGTCATCATGCTACTTTTTGTCTTCATTTCTGAAAGCGTTCAAGTGGCTCGATGCGCTACCACCATGTTAGTGGCTTTGATTCTAGCCCGAGGTTTTTTGCCCCCACGACATTCATCATCATACATGCTCAGACTGCCACAGTTCCTGTGATACTGAGCATGATGATGGCGATCTCGGCCACCACTGCCGCTACTGCCACTACCGCCACCGCCGCCGCCGCCACAGCTACCACCACCACCACACCGACGCTGCCACCACCACTGCTACTGCCACTGCTACCACTGCTGCTGCTGCCGCTACTACTGCTGTGGCTACTGCTACTACTGCTACTACTACTACTACTACTACTGCTACTGCTACTGCTACTGCTACTGCTACTACTACTACTACTAGTACTACTAGTACTACTAGTACTACTACTACTGCCAGTTTCAAGTTGCCCTTGCGATAAAGGATTTTTGCGCATTTGACATAGCCGAAACTTAGGCTTTGGCTCGATGTTGACAAAAGTCCTGGTTCTGTTTTTGTTGACCTTCCCATGCATCTAGGGCACGCTGCAACTCCAAAATGCTCGCCCCTTCGTCTAAGGGTTTGAGAGTTGTCCAATTCTGGCAGGCCCCGTTAGTCCACAATTCGTCGCGTTGCAAAGGCGAATCCCCTGCGCTTTCCAACGAGTTTCATGACCAAATCGCGAAGAAAAAAAAGCCACCAACGAGTCATAGCCGCATCCTCCTACCTACCTACATGCCTGCCTGCCTACCTACCCACCCAGGACCATGACGAGCACTTCTAGTACGTGTTTGACATTCTTCACTGTCTTTCTCTCGATCGTACTGTTGATACTCCAGATCTTTCATGACCTTTACATGCGTTTCAAAGGTACCTTGCCATTTCCCGGGTTTGTGGCAGCTAGGGTCATGCACAGCTTTTCGTTATGAACCGTGGTGCAGCCCAGGTGGCCTCTGCAACGCTACTCCTGGGACTCCTCTGGTCGCGGCGATTTCTGGAGACCTCGCTGCGGGAGTCAGATGCGCGGCTACGTGCCCTGGGGCTCTCATAATACTTCAGGTGGAGGGTTTAGCGCTAAGGGTAGGTATGTGTGGAAGGGTTTGGGATGCATGGTCTAGGCTGTCCCCAGCACTATCTTCCCAGGCACAGCAGTGAGTAGCACACCTTCTACTCCGGCACCAGATGCGCGGGGCACAACGGAGCCGGCCAAAGTCAAGGAGACCTGGAAGTTTAGAGTGTATTGGGCTCGCCCTAGGGATCCAAGTATACAAAGAATACCTACATTGGGCCCTAAAGTCTGTAAATATTACCTACGTTGAGCTATTTGGATCCCTGGTGATGGGTTTAGAGTTTATAGGGCTTCAGGCTTCTGCGTACAGGAACCCTGATCCCAGCAAAGAGACCTCATCCTTTTTGATGGCATGTGTGGCTTCTTACCAGCGCAAAGGAGCAACTTTCTTGGCTTTCAGGGTTTACGTTCACTCTGAGTGTCCAACAAATCTGTACATAACTGAGACCCCTCAAATCGTTTGTACTATTGACCTTCAGGACTACCCCTTTGGAGTTTGATTGCTTGGCCTGATTGAATAGGTGGTTTAGAAAGAAATTGACAAGTTTAAACGGCATCAATTCCAGATCCGAAAGGTAGTAGAGCCTCGGCTTTTTTTTCAGGCATGGTCTTCAAATTTTGCATTGGTTCCACCATTAAACACCGCAAAAAAAACCCTTGCGTAACAGATCCCCCCCAAAGCTTTCATATTCTTGAATCTCACAGGGTCTGGTGGACTACCTACCCCTTCTGTACTTTGCCTGGCCTAGCCTGTTAAATCCATTGGTTTAACAAGACATCCAGGGTTGTTGGGGGCACCTGATTCCAGATTCCAAATTCAAGCCCAGCCAATATAGGGGTTTCCCAAAATTAGGGGTACCATCTTGGGGGTGACTATCATGTGGACTATGGTGTTTTGGGGTCCATGTTGGGGTACCCTAATTTGGGGAAACTACCATGTTTAAAAGCTTGGTGTTTTGAGGACAGTTCTTGCCTCATTATAAATATAAACCTTCCCCAGATATTTTCTGGCAGAAAAAGCGCACTTAATGGGCACCCCCTTCCCCAAATAGAATAGGTGTCCAGGACAACTGTTGAAAACTTTACTCTATTGCGTCCCCCACCATCCCCTAATCGATTTCAACAATAGGGTGCGTGATGAAGAGAGCTTCCAAAATCATAGGTCCTGTTTTGATGTCCAAAAGATGTGGGGCATAGCAGTTTGCTGTGTACTGGGAATATTGGGATCGGGTATCAAAAGCGTGGACCAACAGCACCACAAACATTCTACAACAAATGTATAATTGTGTGAATCAGGTTGACGAACATAGTTTCCAATCAAAAACCCACATCTTCAACCAATCCTTCATATACCTGCACACGAAGGGCATGTAGGAATACCGTTCGGAGTGAAAATTGCTCAACATGACGCTCATCATCCAAGAAGTCCTTACAATCTCTGCACCCACGCTTGTTTTGAGGAACCTTCGAATTTTGCTTTGGTTTAAAGTTCCTTGTTGTATGCTCCACAGCTTGAGAGACTTATAGTAGTTTCCATCTTATTTTCCATTATCCCAGTATAACCCCAATAACCCCAATATAACCCAAATATAATCCCTATATAACCCATTATAGTCGTTTCCATTTTATTTTCCATTATCCCAGTATAACCCCAATATAACCCAAATATTTGAGAGACTTTGAAGTGGCTTTTCGGAGAAGGCAGCTCCTGAGCCAGCAGCCGTGCTCCGGCAGCGTGCGGGACTCTACAAGGACAAGGCCAAGCATCCGGAGCTTGCCGGCCAATGTGCAAACAACATTTTGGATGTCTTAGGGTTTAGGGCAGGGTCTGGGTTTGGGGTTTAGGGTTTAGGGTTTAGGGTCGGGATTCGGGTTTAGGGTTTAGGGTTCCTACAGAACGTGGGAGAAAATCTTATGGAACCTGAGACATTGTGATTGGCCCTTTGTACGCTAGCAGTCGCCGTCATATTATACTTGTTTTCGTGCTTGCCTAGGCTTCATAAACCATGAAAACCCCAAACCCGAAGCACCTACCTAAGGTTTAAGGATGTGGTGCTTCTGACGTTGGCCAACTTTGCCTACCTGGACTTTCTGGCGAATTGGGCTGCTCACCTGCACATGATTCCTTGAAGGTTCATGGATAGTATCCGTGTGGGTCGGAAAGGGCTTCACCGGGATCGTAGAGGGTTCGCTTCAGATTATACAGCAGTTGAGGCGACCAAAAAGATTAGTGGGCAAAGGTTTGAGTGCTTTGCTTGGATTTGTGTTTTTGATGGGTCCTTCAGTTGCCTTCTTGGTATGGTTTCTATACAGACGAATGAAGAATGTGGCATATGCCCCATCATGTTTAGTACAGAAGACCGTCTCAACCGCACCATAGCTGCGTAAGCTATAGGTAAATTGCAACCTGCCGTTTGAGTCCCCCACCCACCTTGGAAACCATGCTCTGGATATCGGAAGGTGGAAGTAGGCCAGACAGACAGAAACATCTCGTGACAAAGGTGGTCACATGATATCTGATAAACATGCGAGCCTTGTATGCACAAGCATTGCGCAGCGAAGAACCTTGATGATAGCAGCAGCAGCAGCAGCAGCAGCAGCAGCAGCAGCAGCAGCAGCAGAACACATCAGATATGACGCATGGAGCTGAGAGTTGAAACAATTATTGCTACATTAAGATCCTCTTGTGTTTGCCTGAAGCTCAAAGCATAACGATATCTTCTTGGGGATGGATTTGCTGATGCTTAAAGGGGATACAGACAGGAGTTTAGATATTACTAGAGATATTGTATGGGTGTTGGACTAAATCCACGGAAGAGGCAATATGTGTAGGTGGGTCATGAGGTTGAACAATCGTACATGTTTGGTGCAAACCGATACCAGGACCATCGTTTTGACGCTTTGCAAGCCCAGGTTAATAAAGTGACGTATAGTATATGGGGTTTGGTCTATCCCCGTAACAAAAAAGCATAAGCGACACGATCTTTGGGGCAACATATACATGATTATTTTTACCATTGGCCGGCCGATCGCTTGCGCTGCCATCTTGCTCCTACAAATGCGCTGTAGCGCATCAGCACTTGAAGTCCTAAGGACTTGGGATTGCAAAGAGCTCCGAGGCATTTGATCCTCCCTACCTTGGATAAAATAATCTTCCATCACAGATTTGAATTGCAACTCAAAAGGGCAATGATTCCATGATAAGGAGCTAGATCCTCATCAGAGTACGTCGCTGTTCTCAATGGACTCGTCACGCGGATCTGATCGTAGACCAGATGCTCGAGACTTAGAACGGCAGTCATTATACTCTTTAGCGTTGCCATGTTGGGTGGCTCCACTATGCCACGCCGAGGCTCGGCAACGGAATCTAGGGAGCATCTTCAGCATTCAGCCAAGTCACGTATGGATCTTGGGTCTCAACTTAAACAGCATCTTCGAGCGGTTGAAGGCATCGATCGCGCAGACTTGGATTGAAAGGGGGTTGGGAATACATGGGTCAGGGTTCAGAATTTAGTTAGGGTAGGGTTTAGGGTTTTCAGGGTTTGGGGTAGAATTTCGAGATTTTATATTGCAGCTGTGGAGCAGTTATAGCTGGCCCGATACAAGAAATAATGCATTTGCATCTTCTCCGCGCTCTCTTCGGGGATGAAATAAATGTGGCCGGAAATTGCTTCTCTCATACCAGCAAGATTCACAAAGATTGCAGCCATATTCCTGACATGGAAGTCCCCGCTGCGGCCCCTATGTCTTGGTGAAAACCCTAAGCCCTAAGCCCTAGACCATGCTCCCATGCAACTCTCAACCTTACAAAATTTTACATAGGGTCGAGGGCCGTAAAAAGTCGCTTTAGGATTTAGGGCTGAGGGCTTAGGGCTACTAACGTGAGGAAACAAATCTAAGCCTTTTGCCCACTACACCTATCATCAAGCCGCAAAGCCGTAAGAATTCACCCCTAAACCCTGCCTTGAACCACGGATTAAAATTGGCAAAGCTGCTGCCAATACTCGGAAGGATGATCGCCTGCATGCTTCACCGTCACATACCGAAGCCACTTGACCATACAGATGGACTCCTCAATCATCATACAGGGGATTAGGGCGGCTCAAGGGAATGGATGTGCATTTTGTTCATCTAAGTTCAAGGCTGCGCCACGGAGATGTTTTTGAGAAAGTGTTGGATATCCCGCAGCTGTAGCCGTGGAAGCTTTCAGGGACTTCAACGAAAATGCAGGAGCTCGGTTTCCTCAGTTGTATGGATCACAGCAAATTATCAGGGATTGAGTGCACAGGCAGGGCTAATTGCTACAAAGGCACTGATTTTTTCTCGTTGGCAACATGTGACAAAGTCCACATATGCTGTAGCCAATCTTGCTTCTTGGTTGCCCCCTGCCCACGGGCTGTTGACCGCTGTAGCTGTCAATTCGAGGAGTGCCTTTGAGGGTAGGCTCAGGGTGATCATGCATGGGATTGTGGGGGGAGATCAAGCATGTGCTATTAATTTAATCAAGACGCCGAAGCACAAGCATCAGGCGCCAGCGACAGGTCAACGATATGTAGGTAATCTTCCCAAATACGATCGACCGAGAAGCCAGGGATATGGATGAACGGATTGGGCCCGCATTTTTCACGAATGAACGTCTCTGTGGAATAGATCCTTAGTATATGCAGCAAAGGATTCAGGGTGGGCAGGTGGACTTGATGAAGGTCATAGTGGTAGGCCACGAGTCGTAGCGCGATGATCAGCCTCATGCCCATAATGGGCATAACCAAGAGGGGATGCACCATCTTTCTCTGCCTTACGTTTATACACTCGGTCAACGTTTTCTTTTCATATGCTAGGGCTGCCGAGAATCAGCACAAGATCGGCACACTTGCTGACCAGTCCAATAATTTTCGAACTTGTAGCACTTGTGGAGATAAACTTGGTCCCCCTTGTGTCCGGCAAACACAAAACGAAAATCCCCAGCCACTTTCGAGCCAGCTTTGGCATACAACTCCGGGAAATAGTTCTCGTCAAACTTGCGGCCATACCAGTCATGGTCAAGATAAACCCCAGCCATGGCGCATACAACTCCCCAGCAGTGCCAACTGTCTATCTCAGACGCGGTACTGTCACCAGCACTTGAGTTGTCGAAGCAACTCAATAGGAGCTTGTGTTCCCAAGTGGCGCCACTAGTTAGTGCCGAAGATACTGTGCTTATAGAGAACGATCTTCTTTTGTGGAGCTCCGCGTCGTCCCCATGAAGTTCGATGGGGATTACACGGAGAAGTTCGGCCATGGATAGTCTTGAGAGAAGCGGGTGTTCCTTGAACCATGTCGTTCCAGCATTGCGCAGCCAATACTCTTCTAAGCTGCTTGTGCCCAAGAGGATGTGCTCGAAGAGGGTCAAGTCGTGCTCGTAAAGGGCTCCAAACCTTGAATAAGGCACAAGTGTAAAAAAGAGATGCTTGTTATACATAGCTATATAGCCAGGCCACCAATCAGGAATCAGAAATATCGCATGCGGTCCCATAAAATATGGATCCGATCGCTTTTTGTCCACCTTAATGCATGAACTCAAGCATGGTATCTACTTTGGCCAGGAACAAGTTAACACACAGGATTGCAATCGTCTGCAGCCCGGGATCCTGATTGACCTCAATCCTAGATAGGTCGAATTATAAGTATAGAAATAATTTAGGGTTTAGGGTTTAGGGGTTTGGGGGTTAAGCATTTAAGGTTTGGGGTTGATACCAGCTAGGTTGTTGAGCGAGGTTCTGGAAGGGCTTCGGGAGGCATTTCATCCACGGTTGGCGGCGCAGCCACGATCTGAAATTGCGCTGCGCATTATGATCACCAGAAGTACACTCAGCCAAGTCCCTGAAGGAGGGCCTCGGACGGTCAAACTACAGAATCTACTACCCGGTGCCCAAACCGATATTGCCCATCCACTTGACTAGTATGTAGCCAAGCTTCTCGAGAAAGATACTTGGGATGCATTTGTGAACAGCGCTCACAAAATTTCGGATTGTTTGCACTGACAACCGCCTTGATAATTCAAGGAACTCCTCAATCATGCCATAAGCCTCAACCTTGGGGGCCAAGGCTTTGTTTGCGCTGTGGCTCTAGACTTTCTATCTCGGATGAGGCAGGGAACCTTCGAAGAAGTTGCCATGGGCTCCACGCATGCACAGTTGGGCAGAAATTCATAAGTGGAAAGATTCGCTGGAAAGGGCCATAGGGGCGTAGGGGAACCAGGTCTGGGTGAAGTGGAAGTGGAATAGGCTTTTCCCTTTTGAAATGCGTAGTTCAAATTGAGGGGTTCAGATTTATGGGCTCTTCCTAGGCTTTGGGGGAATGGAATGTGGGCTCGAGGGTTTCCGGCTAGGTTCTATATCTATATCATACAAGTACATATAGGGTTTAGGGTTCAATTGTTAAGGCTTGCAATATATGAGGGCATATGGGACTTGGGGATGGGCTTTAGCTTGGGAAGTTGCCGGTACTGTGCCAGAGCTCTCCCACTCGCAAAGATGGCCAGCACGCAGGCAGTTCAAATTGATGATCGTGCGGTGCTAAACAAGCATGAATAAATCGTGCGCAACAACTAACTCCCGCTCTTTGTGCAGTGCGGCAGAAACTGGATCCAATGATGGGATCTGAGCCTTGCCATTTACCCCTGCAAAGCAGCCCATCCTTGTGATCAGACTGAAACACCTTGCTCTAACGAACATGTGTACAGACACGCTGTGCAGAATTTGCATCCATCAGTGAGAGTAGGGCGCTATACGTATAATAGGACCTCAATCTAAGTCAGGATTTTGAAACGCAAGCTCTGATCCACTCTGCAGCTGATGCATGCAGGCTGATGATCGAAGCGCTTCGATCGCCCTACGAGCTTTCGGCCTTTACAGCAGGCTTGTCTGTCTTGGCTTTCTTTGGCTTTCGGCGGTTGGCTTCCTTAAGCTCATCATCAATCGTAGTAGCTATACGCGAGAACCTTTCATAGTGGGTCTGAAGCTCCTCCTGGGGAACCCCATCTGTGTAGTATCCATCCATTTCCTTGGCGTACTTCTCAGTGTTTCCCGTGTGTTCGCGAAGCGAATCCACCTGAAGCAAATAGGGGGAGATCTTAAGTGGGAATGTTCGATTTCATATTATTAAGCTCCTGGCCAGTTCAGTGCAATGCTTCACACCGGCTAGCTCGCGGAGTCGGTCATTGATCTTGGCCTCGTAGCCACGGAACCTGAGTTATGCGTGGGATGGGGTTTGGGCTTGAGTTTGTAAATGCCGGTTACATGGGCATATACTTACTTAAGTGAAGGGGCTTCTTGGCCAGAGCTCGGTAGTCTGCAACCAATTTCTCCGAAGCTGTTAGCGGCTTCTTCTCTTTGCCACTCCGGTTCTTCATCTTGATCTTACCACTGGAGTCCATGAACTCGAGAGACTCCAGGTGGTCCATGGCTGGTTTGAGTTTCTCGGCAATAGCTTTCTTTGCCGCCGGTTCCTTGACAACGCCAGAAATCCCTGCGCTGCTTTCACCGCGAGAACCTCGCTTGTACTCGTCGAGAACGCAGCGTAGAACCTTGTACATCATCGCCTTCTTCACATGCGGGGCCTGAGGGTGCTTGATCCCCTTCTGTCCTAAGTTTCGCTTGCAGGTATCAATCGCTATAGTCTAGGGTTTAGGGTTCAGTATAAAATCTATGGCTAACTTGACTTGAGTCCAGGTTGCCCTTGATCAGTTCACCAATGAATTCCTGAGCATCAGGCCCATCGCCAAACTCCTTCTCCAATTGGAGAATGGACATGGTAACGTATTGGTCGCTCTCGGAGTTCTCGACAAACTTCACAAACCTCAGATCTATGGATGAACCTACATCTCCAGGGCTGAATTCAGAGTTCCTGACCTGCTGCTTGAGGCACCTTTCTTCCACAGTAATAGCTCCAAGGTCTCCGTCATGGAGAAGCCATGTCTTCAGCATCTCGAACCTGAATACTGGGCTAAGGGATGACAAGGGATGATTGGATATTGATTTCAAATAAGCTGCTTGCCAATATCATCCGCGGCAGACCATTTGGTCACCAAACCGGGGTTCAGATTTCCATCTGATTTCATCTTGCGTCCCATGGCCGCAAACTGGCGCTTCCGTTCAGATCTGGGCATGTCCTTAAGATGGTTTAGCGACTGTAGCCCCCAAATCCCAAAAGAATTGCCACTCATCTCTTATAGCCAGGGTTCGGAGGGTGAAGCCATTTGCTTAAGAGCCTGCTTCTGCGCATCTGTCATCTTCAATGTTCGGGCCTGATCAAAGGCTTATATAGGGGTTGAGGGTTTCAAAATTAAGGTTCAGGGGCCAGCTTACATTCTGTGTGAATGTCCCAGTGATCCCTGTATAGCTATATAGGGGAGACAAATTCATATACCTTAAACCCTATGTAGCCCAATATAGGAATTTGATAGTAATTAATTCCTATGAACATATATACTTCATATACCATCTAGGTATACTTATATAGGATCCTTTGCGGGTGTAATAAGTCTCAACTATATAAATAATGACTGCACTATTCCACCGTTGGCCGTTGGGGGCCCTGATTTATACGTTGCCTGTCTCTCTGCGCTGTTGGTCTGCTTTTCACCTGCTGTCGACTCCGCATCTGCGCTTGCGCGTGCTGTGGGAGAAGGGGTTCCGCTGGCGGAGTCGGGTTCTCCTGGCGAAGTGTTTGCAAGCTCAGAACTTGTAGCGGTGGTCTCTTTGGATGGGGTCGTAGCATCTGATGCCGCTTCAGGCTGCGTTTGGGAGTCCACTTGAAGGCTTGCAACCGTTCCAGTGCGCTCCATGCTGCTGAGCTTAGCATCCTCTGACGCATGCTTAGCGTAAGTGTTCTTGTCAAAAAACTTAGCCAGGCTTTGCGGGTTCAGAGTGCCCTCCCAGCCCGGTAGGCCGGCCTTGGCCTTCGCTGGCGGAGGCAGGGTTGTGGCTTCAGGACTCTCAAGCTGCAGGTCTTGCTTGCGCTTCTTTGCAGGCTGGCCCACGGGCTCTGATTCCTCTCCTTTGCCTTTGTCCTCCTTGTCCTTCTTTTCTTTCTTGTCCTTCTTATCCTTCTTGTCCTTTGCCTTTGCTTTTTTTTGCTATCTCTTTGTTGTCATGTTTCTTGGCTTCGGGTTCAGCAGGGCCCTTGGCATCTTCCTGGGGTGGGGGAAGCACAGGTTTGGGTTCATCCGTCAATGCTTTGGGCTCCAGCGCAGCTTTCGGCTGGGCTTGGGACTTGGCACGCCACTCCGTGGCTAGCAGCTGCCGTACCGCAGCCTTAGCGTCCCCATTGTTCGAGGCCAACGCCTCCACCGCGCTTTGCTCATCAAAGCCGAGTTTCATGAGCTTCCGGAGCTGACGCTCATCACCCTTTGCTTGTTTGCCCTCAGGCTGCTCACTGGAGTTCGCCGGTATGGCAGGACCCTTCATCTGTAGCAGCTGATGCACAGCAGCCTTGGCGTCCCCATTGTTCGCAGCCAACGCCTTCGCCGCGGCTTGCTCATCAAAGCCGAGTTTCATGAGCTTCCGGACTTGCTTCTCATGGTCCTTTGCTTGCTTGCATGCAGGCTGCTCGCTGGAGCTAGCCGGCAGACCGTTGCACCCACGCCTTAGTTTCAAATATAAAACGGAAATGGGTCATAGAAAGCCTGCAGGGGATCGCCCGCACATAATCTATACCTGCACAGACCATGGTTCATAGGTGTGTTCCCTAGAGGTTTATGAGTGTTCCCCTTATACACCCTTGAACTTCCCATGCATATCAACCCGAGTCAGCCCCAACCGCCACAAGTCCATCCCTTGACCTTATGGATTTCACCGCTGCGAGGCGCTTTGAGCCCGTCATGGCAAACAGCTTGTGCGAAGGCCTGCCGGAAATTGTTCGATCTCGTATTCACCACGAGCATATCCTAGAACCCGGCCTGCTTGAGAAGGGCCGCCCCCCACTACCAAAACGTTGGTGGCAAAATGCCGCCAGCTGCAGCTCGAACAACACAAAGTGACGCGACACGGGGCGACACACCCAGAAGACTAGAGACAGTTATCTACAGGGGGGGGGCGACACGGCAGTGACACGGACCCCCGGCCAAAGCCAGAAGCCATAAAATTATCATTTAGAGCAGATTTATTATAGACCCGTGACAGCTCGATCCTTTTGTGCATCCTTCAGTCAGCCGTGAATGCCGACATTTCCTGCCGGAATCCTTCAAGACTTCCAAGAGGCGTAACCGTACAACAAATCATCAATGCTATCATCATCACTGCCGCCATCACTCAGACTATCCAAGAGCCCAGTGAAATCCGGAAGGTCATTTGTGGCACGACGCACGCCCCTGGCATCTGCGAACCTGAGTCGATTCAAGGGGAGATCGAGTGAGTTTTAGCATGTGACGGATTGGGTTCATGAGTCGGAGGGCTTATTTGAGGATTATGGGGTTGGAACGATCCGGGCACATGGTGGATTGCATTGGCTAGCAGCAAGGGACTGTCAAAACACAATATTAGGATGATTAAAGTCGCAGGTCGTCCGTATTTGCTTCAGGGGCTTTGACCATGGGAGAACTGTTGCTACAGTTACCAGGGGGACACTGGGGGTAGACAGGGATCGATCTCCATTCAGAGGGCTAAAGCCCTATATACGCGGCATTTAGGGCTCCTATAGTAAGGCGTAGGTATACCCTATAATCGGCCGGAGTAGAACCTGGGGACCCAAAGGTAAAAGATCTCAGGTGCAAGCTAACCTAGTACGTCCCAAAGGTCGAGTAATATGGCGGAAACCTTATAGCTAATACTCATAGACAGGAGGCAGCTTCGCAATTGACATCCCAAAGGAATATGTGTAGCGCTGGGTCGATCGTAGATCTTTGCCACCAGCCTCAGTATACTCCCAACGCACCCCCAGCCCCCGCCTAAACCCCCCAAATGAGCGGAGAGTAAGCAAACAGCTCCCACGAACCCCCAAATGAGCGGAGAGTAAGCAAACAGCTCCCACCCAAAGCCCCCAAATGAGCGGAGAGTAAGCAAACAGCTCCCACCCGAACCCCCAAATGAGCGGAGAGTAAGCAAACAGCTCCCACCCAAACCCCCCAAATGAGCGGAGAGTAAGCAAACAGCTCCCACCAAACCCGCCAAACAACCCCAAGCCCCCCCCGCATCCTCCTCCAACTCTCCACATGGCTGAATCATATACCCCAAAACCCCTAAAAACCTAAACCCTATAATCCCTACTTGGAGGGTCGAGGGGGGACTTCGTACGTAGGTTACTTAATATACCCCATATAGAATATATAGTATAACCCCCATCAAGAAGTACCATTCCTGCTACCAAATCCGCAGGTGTTGATCGCTCCGTTTGAGGTTCATTTTATAGACCTAAATGGAGGCCCCTAACCCTAAACTTCAGAATTCTTCCATATTCGTACTAGAACGCATGTCAACGCAATCTTAAGATCTTTCTTAGACGCACAAGGTTTCCAAGCGCATCCTGCCCCCCCCCGACTGCGCGTATTTAGTTTAACGATTCCAAGCACAAGCGCGTGTGGAATTCACGCGTGATAAGCCTCCATGGCTTTAGGGTTTAGGGTAAGGACATGCCAGCACGTACCAAATCATGCTCAGACCCGCAGCTCTCCAAATCCTCCACGCAGTCGTAATTTGCAGCAGATCGCGTAACCATGCAAGCAAAGTTGCTGTCTTGCTCCCAATGAGCTCATATAGCAGTGCTTGAGGAAGCGGTTGACTCAAGTCAACCAACTAGTAATCTGTCTGCACAATGATTCATGCAGATTGCCACGTAGCGTGTACATGCAACAGTCATGGATCTTGTAGATCAGATTGCAATACGACGATTGACCATGGATAGCAATTAAACGAGGGTAGTGCGCCCAACATCATCATGGGTTTTGTAGGTGACTGAGGCAACTTGAGTTGGGAGAAGTAGACTTGATCTCGGATCCCAAGACTGTATATGCAGGCGATTGGCCGTCGATAGCAATTCATATGGCGGTCCATACATTGCATTGATCATGGTCTTGTAGATCGAATTAGATGGGATCCTTCCTCTATACTCTAACTCTTAAACCCGAAGCACCAAACCCTAAACCGCTAAACCCCTAACTCCAAAACCCCTAAACCCCTAAACTCCGAACCCTAAACCCCAAGCCATAAGTGAAGCTGGGACACTGCAAATTGCTTGCACCGGGGCTTCAGGAATAATAGTCCCCCCGTAAAGTCAGGGTATATCAACATCCCCATATACCTCATATTCTATCTACTTAAGACCGGGGAACTATACGCGGTCTTCAGGGCTTGAAAGCATACCTAGAAGCCTCAGAACCTCAACAAAATTATGCCTTACCCCTGAGCCCTAAACCCTAACCCCCAAGCCATAACCCGCCTGCATTCCAATCCTATCCCAGGCTACAGACCGCGGATGAGCGGGACACACCCGCTAGCTCACAGCAAGTGATAAGGGGTTAGGGTTAGGGGTTTAGGTGTAGGGAATATGCTACGTGGTTCCAGGATGATATCCATGACCTTGGGAGCTATATGGGGCCCTTACTGGATCTTGACCACCAGAAAGAAACGATCCCGTTAACACCACAGTCTACAGCATGGCTTTCTTCCTCCAGCCCATCCTTTAAAGGTCAAGTATATATACATCCCCGAATTGAGCTCTGATTTGCAACTGGTACATGAAGGTTCCCAATGATATGGGTCCTTGAATTTAGAACCCTTAACCCTAAATCCCGAACCCTTAAACCCTAAACCTAAAACCCCAGGACATGTGGTACGACGTAGAGTAAGCAAACTGGATCCTCAAACCTCTGAGGGTACCTACCTCCAGATTGCGTATCATACAACGTTATAATGTAGGCTTGGGTACGGTTTCCTATATACAGATAAACCATCCCGTATATTCCTAAGTCAACCTGCTAAGTGCAACTCAATAGGTCTAATTTTGTCAGGGAACCACCCTCAATCTCCCAGACTTGGATCGGGATATGCGACTGATTTGTAGGCCATTCTGCTTCTGCTTCTCCAAATAATTGCGGACAATCTTGGAGACATCCCTGCCAAGCGTAGCCAATCCGGGCAAAGTGCCCCATAGCCTGAGCCGTTGGGCTGCGCAGCTTAAAGGGCTTGAAGGGGTATGGAATCCGGTTTAGGCAGGGCTCAGGGATTTATTGAGGACTCAAGAGTTAAGGACACCAGACTTTTGATTCTCGATAGGGTTTAGGGTTTGTAAGGTTTAGGGTTTAGGGCTAGGTTAGGACCGTGAGGCAAAGAGGGGTTATGTAGTCAACCAAGTAGCAGTGTTCTCTTCTCGCTGAGACTACCATAGCTAGCCATTGGCAAGCTGACTGATTGGGCACGAATCTTCAATAGGAGTCGTCTGACAGGACGATATGAGAACATCAATGAGAGCAAAGGTTGCTCTACCACAATGTAATGGCCAAGCTCATATGCAACTCGTAACCTTAGACATATCAGTGCAGCTGGTACGTACCACATGTAAGACGCAGTCGCCGATACTAGATGTGTGAGACAAGCTGCACGTAGACCATTCACCTGGCGAAAACATTCGCGAGACGAACTTTTGTAAATCTCTTGCCGAATCCTGCAGGCCGATGTGTTCGCCGACCTGTAGATCCTTGACTCCTAAGATGATACATACTGTTGCATGGATTCTGAATGCATGCCGTGATGATTGTCCAAGGTGGGTCAGGTATAAGGTCGTGGCATCCATATCCAGGATGAACATGGCGGAGCAATCCATAACAAACTTTGTGCCCGCATATTTCGAATCTTAGGTTGAACTCATGTATCCTCACGGGTTGATTTGGCTTGTGCATCAGCAGTTATAGCCAAGGAGCTGCAACTAAGATGGCCATGAAGCCAATAGTCCGCATGAAATTATGATTGCGGGAATACGCAGCCTTACTCAGAGGCCCGTAGTAATTCTACGAAGAGTGGGCAGATTTTGCAGCTCAGACGCATCCATGGCTTTACCGCTGAATCCGAAGCAGATTAGTGAGTCTGTCAGGGCCTGGGCTTGAACACAACACATCATGATCATGGGCAT